TTGCAAAATAAAAATTACAGAAAAACATGATAATTTTCCTAAATGGATAAGCTGTATTTTAAATTTAGAACTTGTTTAAACTTTAATCTTGAAATTATTTATTAAATCATTTCTTTATTCAGTTCATTATAAATAAAGTATATATTGTTTTTTATTGCAGTATTTTGACACAATTGAATCTGCTTTTGCATATTCTGAAGAATTAGAGAATCCTCTTATATTCATCCACACTGGTGTATATAAACATGACTATCTTATCATTGATACAAATGTAGCAATGATTGGGGCAGGTAATTATTAAAACATTTACAAAATATTTGTTTTAAAACATAAATACAGTCGATTCCGCTTAATAGCATGGCATTGGGACCGGAGCTTTTTGGAGCTACTAAACAAACATCCCAATAAGTTATGCTATTGAGATACAATATAATGAGTTATGTTGTGTGTCAATGCATGTTCTCACCAATAAAATAAACATCTGAGTGCAATAAAACCATTTTAATGACAAGAAATTATTTATGTACAAAAAAAAATCATTGCAGTACAACCTGGTTTGATGATTGATTGATTTTTTTTTTCTTTTACAACTGATAAAGGAAACCGGATGGAGGTTGCATATGGAAAAGCCGAAAATATCCAAATTTGTGTCTTTTTTGTTTAGTTTTCCAAGAAAAATACTGTGCTAGCAGGGCTACTAAGCGGCATTTTGGGGCCAGTAGGCAAAGTAAATTATTCTTGCATTATAGGATTTGATTCTTTTCTTGAATGTTTTGTCCTAATATGTGGCATGTTCTAATAACCGACCATGCTAATAACCGGAATCAACTGTAAAACTGAATCAATATTAGTAATGAATTTAATTGATTGTAATTTTATTACAGCTCCTGGAAATGTTGCAGATAATGTTATATTAGAGAGGGAGAGTGAATCTACTATTACATTTGTAGAAGGTGCAAAAGAAGCTTACTTGGGTTATGTCTCTCTAAAGGTAATACATATCCAAACTAGAAAGCAAAATGTTAAGATACAATGAAATTAATTTGTCATTCCTAATATTACAGTTTACACCAGATATCACATCATCTGTACCACATCATAAACATTATTGCTTAGAAGTTACAGAAAATTGTTCACCTACAATTGATCATTGTATTATTCGAAGTTCATCTGTTGGTATGTTTTTTTTCCTTGTGTTATATATAATAATAGGAATAGACAGAACAGTATTTCAGCAATATTTATAAGTAAAGTCCTAAATTTTATACCTATTTTTACTGCTTTCTTTAAAATTTAAAAAAAATTTTTAGTTTTTATTTTACTTTTATAAATCAGGATATGGACCATCCCAATTTATATAAATATATATATATATGAAAACATACAATTTTCTTAATACCTTTATTAGATGGTCTTATTTATTTTCATATTGTATGCTTCAAAGTCTTTGTAGTTTCAATCAACTTAAACTAGCAAACTTAGGAATATTTTATATTACTTAATTAACTATTTTTTCTTATTGTTAAGAAAAGATAGTTATTTATTTTTTTTTTATAATAAAAAGAACAATAGATATAAAACATAAAAGACTGTACTAGATGTCAATGGCCAAATTCAACTTATTACAGCCTATCTTCAAGCAATAGACTTATATGCAGAACTCTAAAATGACATACAAAAGAAAGATGTATGGCTTATTAAAAGAATCAAAAGGGCATACAGATACATAAGTGGCTAGATGTGGTACTTTTTGGCCTAGCTAGGTCCTTGTACCAAAAACCCAAAACCAATCAATCTGAAATATAAAAAAAATAATATAAAATTTTAATTTCTGTTTATTCAACTTATTCTTAACTAAGTACAAGAAAAAAGACTATATGTGAAACTAGTTATTCTTTCATTTTGTGACTTTCTTAATAATAGATAAATTTAATAAATTGATTAATAATAATAATAATAATGATGATGATAATCACTTCTGGTTGCAAGCTCTTGGCAAAGAAATATTATTTACATAGACATAACCAAGTAGCAAATATAATATACCAAGAGCTTGCAAACAAACACAAATTATTAGACATCCACGAACCATACTACAAATACATCCTACAGACAGTATTGGAAAACAACACACAAAATGTACTACGACAGAGCCATAATCACAGATAAAACAATTTACCACAACAGACCAGACATCACATTGACAAACACAATAAAATCACATATATAGACATAATCATTCCAAACATTCACAATGTACAAAACACATGCACTGAAAAAGTCAGTAAGTATACAGAACTTGCCCAGGAAATAAGGCATCTGTGGAGGATGGATAGGGTGGTTATTATACCTGTCATTCTCTCTTCTATAGGTGTCATACAGAAAGCCTTGGAACATTACAGTTGAATGAAACACATACATCATACTACAGAAGACCACTATATTGAATACATGTCATATTGTTAGGAAATTCCTGAATATTGACACACTTATTTAACTTTTGGTTACTATGTCATGACTCTTGTCCAGCATAGTACACAGTAACCAGTATCAACCAAGCATAATTTACATAACCCAACACAATAATAATAATTGAAAACTTCAAAGTTTATATGATGATTTTTTTAAGTCCATTTATTAACAGATGTTGACTTTTATCTTTTTTATTAAAATCTAGTTGGAGCAGCTGTGTGTGTAACAGGAGATAGGTCAGAACCAAACATCAGATATTGTGATATCAGTGATTGCGAAAATGTTGGACTGTATATCACAGATTATGCTCAGGTACTAGAATTGATACTTAAAAGTTTTTACTGTTATTAATGAAAAATGACATTAAAAAGTTTTGTTTATTTTCAAGTTATCTAAAAGCATAAATGTGGACTCATCAGCTTTGTTAATAAGATGATGATGATGATTCCACAATAGTATTATACTTTAAAAGCAATATCAGTTATAAAAAGATGCAGCATTTTCATATTCTTGCAATAGAAACAGTTCCAGGGGAAGTTATGGAAAATACAAAAATTCAGTGGAACCAAAAGGTTATTTCTACTGAAAATTTCAAAACTTAATCAAAATGTTTTTAGTGATGTCATAAATGTATCACTAACTTACAATAATAATAATATTTTTTCTTTGGCATATTTACGTTGTTATTGAGTAATGATACAATAGAACTTCAGTTATCCAATATCCAATTAACTGAAATTCCATATTATCTGAGGTGAACTTCTAAATGCATACACAACTTTTCTTAACCCTAAAAGACTTTCTAAAGAAAGTTTAAAATGATAACCTATATTACAAATGATTTGTTTCTATTACTTTTTTATTATTTAACTTCAACATGGGACAAACCATTCATATGAAAATGTAACTATAATAATATACATTTTTATTTAAAACTATTGCTTGTTTAAGCTTTATAATATGAAGTAAAAATACTGTTTTTAAGATTAAAATCACCAAGATATAAAAGAAGGCTTAAAAAGTAATATCATATAAATCTTTTATAACTTATTTGTAATTTTTAATATGAAGTGACCATAGACCATCTGTTTTAGCTGATGTAGCAGAGGTCCACATTACTTTGGATAATTGGGGTCCTACTATAATAATTTTTAGAGCTGAATGATTTCATATATAAAATTCTGTAAATAAAATTAGTTTAAAAATATTTCATATTGTATCTGAAATGAAAATTTAACAGAAATTTTTAAACTACTGTAGTTATAAGTACAGTAGGATTTGCTTATTGTAAAGAGCTCTTGAAACTTTGTGATAGTATGAATTAATATGAAACAAGTTCAGCTGGAAATAAATGATGGGAGGGCTGAAACATTTCTTAGGTGTACCAGAAAATAATTTTCTTTATTTTACAGGCACAAAATAGTCATGAAAACATTTAAATTTCTCTTGATTATAATGACCTAGGCTGTCTTACAGACAAGCATTCAGGGTTGACTTGCATTACTGCCATGTCATTGTTTCATGCATAGATGGCAAGTGCCTACGACATCATAACTTCCTCTTTTGGCAATTGTGGAAAACCTCCATGATGATTTTGGTGGCATCAGAACAGAAATTGATATGTACATTTGTGGCAAAAAAACTTATATGTGATTGCATGCACAAGATAGCAAATTTCCACCAAAGTTTTTTGAGGACTTATAATAATTGGAAAACATTTTTTTCAACCAAAATTTTTACACAGTTAAATGGATATCATGGAAGCACAGCTAAGTAAGTCAGTCAATTTGGTAAAAAAGTGACTGTGTGGAAAGTTGCCATTATTGCATGTGATTGCAGATTAATTGAAAATGTCATATACTTCAGTTAATCATCAGCTTTATGGAGCAGCTGAAATTTGTACAAGAATAAATGTAAATATTTATATAGGACTTGGTAGATTTGTTAAGTTTAGTAACTGCAACTGCTCAGACAATCTTATAATAGATGTCTTAGGTAAACATGGCTTGAAAATTTTTTTTCTAATTTCTTCTTTCATAATAATAATAATGAATATTGACTCCATTTATTGTGAAAAAAATTTAAATGCCACTTATAGCATGGCAGAATTGAAGGGAAATTCCTGTCATATATTGACACCAATTTTTTTTTGTAACTAACCAATTTAATTTCAGTCATTTCTGCAGTGACCTGAAGTTTCTCTTGTTTGTTTAACATTTGTACTGTGATTATTGTTGTCATCTACCTACACTTCTAAACTAAATAGTATTTTTAAACTTTCAAAAAATATTTTGTCAGAATCATAAAGCAGTTTTTTTTCATGTCTATTACATAAACTTATTATGATTTCTTTTAAAGAAAACAACTTTGAAAATTTAAAAGATTTTTAAAATAAACTTTTAAATTAAACAGGAATAAATCTAAATTTAAAATTATTATTCATTGCTGTCACTGAGTCCCTCATTAAATGAAGCTAAGTTCTTCTTATGGAAAAAATTCTCTGTTTTTATTTAGCAATATATATTAAAGAATGAAATTATTGAATGTCCTCAGAATTGCAACTATGAGTGTTATAAGTTGAAAGCAAAATTTGGATAATTATTCTTTGTGAATTAGATTAGATATAAAAACAAATATAAAATTATTTATTATATTAATTTATTGTATTATTTAAATGTTACATTAAAACAAGTAACAATTAATTTATAATATTTTAGGGTTTATATGAAGAAAATGAAATTAGCAGGAATGCACTTGCAGGTGTATGGGTAAAAAATCATGCCAATCCTATTATGAGAAGAAATCATATTCATCATGGACGTGATGTGGGAGTATTTACATTTGATAGTGGCTTGGTTAGAATTTTAAAATATATCTACATAATTTTATTATTATTTTTGAGAGTATTATCTTACAAACAATGCATTTTTCTTAGGGTTATTTTGAAGCAAATGATATACATAATAATAGAATTGCTGGTTTTGAAGTCAAAGCTAATGCAAATCCAACAGTAGTTCGTTGTGAAATTCACCATGGTCAAACAGGTGGTATATATGTACATGAAAATGGAAGAGGGCAGTTTATAGAAAACAAAATCCACTCAAATAATTTTGCAGGTGTTTGGATTACATCTCACAGCAATCCTACAATTAGGTAAGGATGTTATATGCATATATAAGATAAAAAATCAAATATTTATTTATGAGATAAATTTACATTGAATAAATTATGAATTTCAGACGAAATGAAATATATAATGGTCATCAAGGAGGTGTGTACATTTTTGGTGAAGGAAGAGGATTAATAGAACACAATAATATATACGGTAAGGTGTTAAAAATTTATTATTAATAGACACACACAATTTTTTAAACAGGAAATAAGATTACAAAAATGAGATGTGACATTGACAAAGGCCGAAAGATAACCTGGACACACACACACACACACACACACACAAAGAGTTATCATTGAAACATAAAACAAACTGCCTTTCATGTTACATTGTCAAAAAATACTTTTGATTTTAAGATTTCATTTGAAAGCAGTTTTTATAAACAACAATATTATCATCAAATTAATGGAAACAGAAATGGAAATCATTGGTAATAATCCTATATCTGTAGAGATCTTGTGAATCAAACTGTGTATGAATCAGTCTGAAAACATCTTTCTATATATATATACACACAGAAAATCTAAGAGAACTAGTAAAAGAGCACGGAATAATGAAATCAGTTTCAAAAGGTGGCTTAAAAATTTATTAAAATTTGAAATATTTAGCAATAGTATTAATCAAATTTAATAATCTTCCTATTTTGAAACCGTTTCTGTCTTTTTGTTTTGTTTCTATCACACGATGAAGTGCAGTACAGTATGGGCATGACATAAGGCTTTCCTTTACATCCTGTTTTTAAGCCAAGACATGTTTCGGGCATTTGCCTCTCTCCTCTGTTGGATTTTTTATTTTGAGCACCTAAACTTTACTTAATGTTCACTTCACTGCTCAATATCTGCTATGTAACATGAAAAAATGAAAAAGCCGACAGAGAAGGAGCTATATGCTTGAAATGTGTCTTTGCAAACAAAAAACTGGATTAAAAGCAGGAAGAAAGCCTTGTGTCAATTGTACTGCACTTCATTGTGTGATAGAAACCAAATTTAGTAATGTTTAGTACACTGCTTGGACAACGAAAGCATATAAAATAATTGTGTAAATATAAAAATATTTTAATTATAATATATTTTATATTAATAATACACTATATATTAATTACAGGTATGAACCATATAAATTTAAGTTTAATATTTATTTTTGTTTTTAGGCAATGCATTAGCTGGTATACAGATAAGAACAAACAGTGATCCAATAGTGCGATATAATAAAATTCATCATGGTCAACATGGTGGAATATATGTAGTAAGAACTCATAACTTATTTTAATTAATTTTCTTATTTATATTGTTAGCATAATAATATATAACCTTGTAATATAACAGCATGAAAAAGGTCAAGGTTTAATAGAAGAGAATGAGGTATATGCTAACACACTGGCGGGTGTGTGGATAACTACAGGAAGTATACCTGTTCTCAGAAGAAATCGCATTCACAGTGGGAAGCAAGTAAGTTTGAGTTGTATCTGATATAAAAAGTAGCAAATTAGCCTAGAGATAAGCAATTAAATGGCCATTTCTTGATAAATTTAATAATTATANGTTATGGAAAATACAAAAATTCAGTGGAACCAAAAGGTTATTTCTACTGAAAATTTGAAAACTTCATCAAAATGTTTTTAGTGATGTCATAAATGTATCACTAACTTACAATAATAATAATGTTTTTTCTTTGGCATATTTACGTTGTTATTGAGTAATGATACAATTTAGGAATATTTTATATTACTTAATTAACTATTTTTTCTTATTGTTAAGAAAAGATAGTTATTTATTTTTTTTTTATAATAAAAAGAACAATAGATATAAAACATAAAAGACTGTACTAGATGTCAATGGCCAAATTCAACTTATCACAGCCTATCTTCAAGCAATAGACTTATATGCAGAACTCTAAAATGACATACAAAAGAAAGATGTATGGCTTATTAAAAGAATCAAAAGGGCATACAGATACATAAGTGGCTAGATGTGGTACTTTTTGGCCTAGCTAGGTCCTTGTACCAAAAACCCAAAACCAATCAATCTGAAATATAAAAAAAATAATATAAAATTTTAATTTCTGTTTATTCAACTTATTCTTAACTAAGTACAAGAAAAAAGACTATATGTGAAACTAGTTATTCTTTCATTTTGTGACTTTCTTAATAATAGATAAATTTAATAAATTGATTAATAATAATAATAATAATAATCTTCTTCTTCTTAGAAGTATTTATTATCTGACTTTCACCTTTCTGTTAAATTATGTATGTCTCAAATCCAGATTAAAGGATTTTGACTCTCAGAAAGGAACAATTAGTTATTTAATTATTTATATAAAATTTCATAATGGAATTGAATTTTACTCTTTTTTCCTTTAATATTAATGTAAACTTTGATTCCATTTGTGAATTGTCATTATCTTCATAAGTCATGCAATCAAGTATAATATCTTTAGTATTGTGTTGGAGCTGACTTTGCACTAAATATTGGTTTTATTCAAATAATAGTCATGGCCAATAATTTTAAATTACATATTTTCTCTGTGGTTACTATGCAGATAAAGTATTTAAATGTGTTTGTGGAAGTTTGATTTTTAAAGCAGATTAAACTTGAACTGATGACTAGTATCTTTGTTTATAATTAGTATTACTCTGTATATACCAATAATAAAAAAATAATAATAATAAAAATACACCTCTCTTACATTACCCATTAGTGAGCTTTAGCAGTTGGTTGCTGGTTTGCACCTCACAAACAGATTGGTCACATTGAGTTTTTTGATTTTATTATGTCTAAATGTCTAACACTTAAATATGGTCCAGTTTCCAATAGAAAGCTTTCTCAGAAGGCAGATTATCCATGTATTGTATTGCCTTATTTTGTAAATTCAGTCCTACTGTATATTGTGCATTTTATGTATTTTATTTTTTTGTTAGTTTGTTTGTTAAATAAATAAGCCCTACCTACTGTAGTTTACTGTATTTATTTCACATTGTTTCCCTAAATTTTCAGAAATCTTCAAGTAGTAGATGTGACTACTGTTTGAAAGTAATTTCAAGCTTGTAAGGCAAGATTCTGTTATTATTTGAGGGTGACTATTATTCAGATAAAACCAGTACATTGGATAGTTACAAATATTGTTTTGACTTTATCTGTATTTATTTGATTGGTATTCATGAATCATGAGACCAAAATCTTTTTTTTAATTGACATTTATGAATACAATAATAATTGTAGAAACATAAATTTTACTAATAGCCAGAATATTATATTATATTAGAAAGAATAAAAATGATTTGTATACAATACAAATCATTCAGTAATGAATTTAAGTGAATTATTGAAAATTCAATTTTACAATGATAGTGAAGAGACTTACTGTTTCCATTTGATATGCAGTTTATCTTTTCATGTATAAATGATTAAATATGATCTACAGATATACTGATCAGATCATTGTTGAAAGATCATATGATTTATACATCAATTTTTCAATAAGAGATTTGCAAAATAAAAATTACAGAAAAACATGATAATTTTCCTAAATGGATAAGCTGTATTTTAAATTTAGAACTTGTTTAAACTTTAATCTTGAAATTATTTATTAAATCATTTCTTTATTCAGTTCATTATAAATAAAGTATATATTGTTTTTTATTGCAGTATTTTGACACAATTGAATCTGCTTTTGCATATTCTGAAGAATTAGAGAATCCTCTTATATTCATCCACACTGGTGTATATAAACATGACTATCTTATCATTGATACAAATGTAGCAATGATTGGGGCAGGTAATTATTAAAACATTTACAAAATATTTGTTTTAAAACATAAATACAGTCGATTCCGCTTAATAGCATGGCATTGGGACCGGAGCTTTTTGGAGCTACTAAACAAACATCCCAATAAGTTATGCTATTGAGATACAATATAATGAGTTATGTTGTGTGTCAATGCATGTTCTCACCAATAAAATAAACATCTGAGTGCAATAAAACCATTTTAATGACAAGAAATTATTTATGTACAAAAAAAAATCATTGCAGTACAACCTGGTTTGATGATTGATTTTTTTTTTTCTTTTACAACTGATAAAGGAAACCGGATGGAGGTTGCATATGGAAAAGCCGAAAATATCCAAATTTGTGTCTTTTTTGTTTAGTTTTCCAAGAAAAATACTGTGCTAGCAGGGCTACTAAGCGGCATTTCGGGGCCAGTAGGCAAAGTAAATTATTCTTGCATTATAGGATTTGATTCTTTTCTTGAATGTTTTGTCCTAATATGTGGCATGTTCTAATAATCGACCATGCTAATAACCGGAATCAACTGTAAAACTGAATCAATATTAGTAATGAATTTAATTGATTGTAATTTTATTACAGCTCCTGGAAATGTTGCAGATAATGTTATATTAGAGAGGGAGAGTGAATCTACTATTACATTTGTAGAAGGTGCAAAAGAAGCTTACTTGGGTTATGTCTCTCTAAAGGTAATACATATCCAAACTAGAAAGCAAAATGTTAAGATACAATGAAATTAATTTGTCATTCCTAATATTACAGTTTACACCAGATATCACATCATCTGTACCACATCATAAACATTATTGCTTAGAAGTTACAGAAAATTGTTCACCTACAATTGATCATTGTATTATTCGAAGTTCATCTGTTGGTATGTTTTTTTTCCTTGTGTTATATATAATAATAGGAATAGACAGAACAGTATTTCAGCAATATTTATAAGTAAAGTCCTAAATTTTATACCTATTTTTACTGCTTTCTTTAAAATTTAAAAAAAATTATCTGAATCCAGGAATTTTATATAAATTATTTCAACGCTAAAGAAGTCGAACAGGATAATTATATTTATCAACTGTATTGATTAAATTCATTAAATGGATAGTATCTGATGCGAAATCAACTTTTTATAGCTGAATAAGTTATTAAGCTTTTACAAAAGTATTTTAAGTAAACTGTAAGTATTTTTTCCATCTGAAATTTACAATAAATCGGAATTTTTCTGTCTTTAATACATAAAGAACTTAGCGACTAAATATTTATGCAATAACGTTAAGACGCATTGAAATGGAAACAGCAGAGATTTAAGGAAATGATTTTTATTATTACACGAAAGAAAATTTATATATACAGAAAAGAAGTCTTATTAATAAATTGTTCAAAAATTAATTATTAACACTCGAAAATGATTAGAAAGTGTACAAACTTTTTTACATGATCAGAAAAAAGGTCATCTGCCAAACTTATTACTAAAAACTGGAAAATCTTAAATCATTATATCCAAACATATATTTTTACTTTTATTATTAGGCTATATATTGTCATATATTTGATACAATATGAAACAATTTAGCATACTTAAAGCTGCATAATACATTATGCTAAATTGAATGTTATTAAATATAACAGAAACTATAAATTCATCTTAGCTTTTCTAGTATTAAAGGATATATTTCAGGATTCTTGATACTATCCGAATACTCCAAAAAAGAAAAGTTATAAGATTACAACTGAAGTAAATATAACTATATGGAATATATAAATTGTAAATTTGAGAAGTGTTAAAATCTCAACTTAAATATTTCATTGTTTTTTAGAGTTTTGACGAAATTATAATAACACGATTTTTTAATTAGAAAAATCAAGATAAAATTGTTAATATCGTGTAAATTTTGAATATAATTGTTTAAAATTATATAAATAAAGACATTTTATCAAATTATAAAGAAACAAATTCTAAAACATCCAGAATTAAATATATTTTTGTAAAACAAATTGTAAAAATACAAAATATTAAAGACTTATAAGAATAAATGTATTGTAGTCTTCTTTGTCGTCCTTTTCACAATCACAGGAACATATTTAAATATATATTTATATTATTTATATATTTTATATATAAATATTTATTTATTACATTATTATATTACTATTTATATTATAAAAATATTTGAATATCCACGCTAAAAATTAAAAATTATTTCCTACATTAAAAATAGTTTATATTAAATAAAATTAAAACACTATTTTATTTGATTATTATAAAAAAAAATCTTTTATTTATTTTTATAATGATAAATTAGTCTTTAAGATTTAGTTGCCTTACAAACTTAGAAAAATAGGAATGTTAAAAGTTACATTGCTGCAGGCTTATATTGTTTCTAATAAAACAGATATTTTAATACTCGATATGTATATGTAGCATTAACACATTTATATCAAAATCGATAGCACTTAATTTACGAGAAATTCCATTGATTCGTTTTTTCTATCTCCTTTTGATTTACTTTCCGACGCGCTCCTATCCAGCTGTTGGTGGATGTTCCATTAGATACGTCGCGTTATAAGCTATTGTGCAATTTCAAAAGGGATTAGAAGTGGAGAAACTTTAATGATTAGATTGATAAATTGTCATCATTCGATGCCTTATTGCAATTTTGATATTATTAAAGTCACTTTTTGAAAGTAAACTAACTCCATATTGTTATACGAGTAGACAGTTGGAATAATTAAAGTTACTTTAATCGCTTTAGGCAACTTTTGGAAATGAAGGTATTTAATAATAGACAAGCACAACTATTGATAATATGAGTCTGTTTTCTATTAAAAAATTGTGTAAGTATTGAATAGGTTTCGGTAAAATTTCTTTAAACAAAGAAAAATAAAAAATAACGATATTTACTCTGTATGTTCGTAATCTTCATAACAATGAAAATAACTATCTGAAATTGATATGACATTACAAAGAAAAGAAAACCATTTATAAATTTATTTTATAAAAATATAACTAAATTTTTTGTTGTGATTGATACTGAAGAAAGACAAAAGTCTACACAGGATAAAAGGGAAGAGAAGAAAGAAGGAAAAAGATAGATCAAAGCAAGAAGGAAGTACTAGGGATAACCTAAATCAGATATTAAAAAGAGGTAGAAACACAAAAAGTGTATTAATGTAACTACTAAATATATTTTAATAAAAATTGATAAATTATCTCGCTATAATTGTAAGTCTTAAACTAAAATTTTTATTTCAGTAAATAAATTTTTATAATTTTCTAAAATAAAAATAAAAATTTATATGTATATGTATTTCGTATACTGAATTAATGGAAATTAGAAACATTTATTATGTTTTAGATATTATCAACTGTTCATTAAGTATAGAAATTTACTTATTACAGATGTAATGAAGCACAGAATAATTCAAAATTGTATGAAAAATAAATAACACTCAAACTAAAGAATTTTATATCGGCCATTAATCAGATTTAAAAAAATGTTTTTGTCCTAAATAGGATCGAACAATATTACTGAAAGCAAAAACATCATAAATGCCACTTTCATAATAAATGCATTCATCACACATACAAAGAGAATATATAGTCCATTCTATTTGTACAAACCTTTTATTTTACTCCAAAAATGATGAAAATTAATGCAATATAACATTTAAGAAATGACTGATTAATTAACAAATAACTATTGAAATATAAAACAATTATCTTTTTTAGGGAAGATGTGTATAAAAACTTCCCAAAAACTTTAAAATTCCAAATATATAACTTATATATAATAGCGTAATAATACATTATTTTATTTTATTTTTAATATTTCAAGTCATTTTTTATGAATAAATTTAAATTGATTTTAAGAAGCGTATTATTATTAAATTAAAAAATTCTTTAGCAGTAAAAAATAAGCGAAGAAAATTCTATTCTTCTTCTTCCCTTTCTTCAAATTATATTCATTTAAAAGAAGTATTTAACACTCAATTTGAAATTTTTCAAGTATTTCAGTTTTAATAAATTAAATCCTTTCATTTAAATAAAATAAAAATTAACTTAGGTATTTTCTTTACAAAAAAAATATTCAATATTAAAATTTATTATTTTTGTATTAACTATTTAAAAATTTTTGATTAGAATTTAAGTAATTTGTTAATTTTAAAGTTAATTTAATTTATTATGTACGCGATATTATACTTAACTTATACAGTATTTAAAAATCTACTTTGGTATTTAATTATTAATTTTTTTAAATTTGATTTTAATGAAAAATTTTATTTAAAAGATTAATATTCTCCTTTTTAAATTAAAAAAAATTAAATCTGTATAAGATTAAAACATTCTTATGTTGAATATATTATTAATTTATTTACTTTTAATATTTTTTACATATTATCGACTGAATAAATTTTTTAAAAATCAATGTTTGCAATCTTTAATATAAAAATAAATTTTTGAATGACATTCATTTTTTATTATTTAATTTTCATGATATAATTGCTATTAATGTAATCAAATTAATGTTCCAAGACTGATTAAATTTAACGATTATTTAAAACGATGTTAAAAGACAAGAATCTTTTTTTAACGTTAGGTTAATTTATAGGAACATTAATTTTTATTAAATTCATCCTGCAAATGAAGTGTAATTTAACATAATGAGAATAAATAACGAAATATAGCTTATATATATATATATATTTTTTTTTATGGTTAAGAATAACGCGAAAACACATATTACATCTTAGAATCTGTGATCGAAAATTAAATTAATGAGATAATCTCTCTCAATTAAGAGAATACAGTTGAAATTACGAGTACAGTAAACACCCGCTAACTGGAACAATTTTTTTTCAAAATATTGTACTGTACAAATAATTTAAGATTTCTTGGCAATAGAAATATTATAATTAACAGCTGTTTTGATATCTAGAGGTGTTTGCGATACTTTAGGCTATATTATTTCACTAACACTGTATATTGCTGTATACAGTACGATCATAAAAATTTTTGAGCTTAGCTCCCCGTAAAAATAAATTTAGTAGTATAACTTATTAAAGCTCAGTAAAACTTCTGTAAAAAAATCCATCGTATAAATTGATATATTGTATTGATATATCTATCTCCTCGCTGTTTTCCACGTCGTTTCGTTAACTGTGACTTTCGTAAACTCGGATGACCTTTAACCAATATTAATTTAACTTAGCGAGAGTTTAATGTATTTAAAATTAAATTAATGTGATATACTCACAATTAATAGAATTCAATTGAAATATACAAGTATTTGAAATGTTCAAGTCGTGAATTTTTGACGACCTAAAAAATCATGTGGGCGATCTGCCAAGAGGTAATGCTCCCGGGAGTTGCCTTTCAGGAGTAGTTTCAATGGGAATAGACGCCTATTTAAGTGTTAATAAACACGTGAAGAAAACGCGAAACTCCACGCGGTCAGTTCTTTAGTCTGGCGCGAATCAGCCACCAGCAACCCGAGTTCTTTTTTATCCACTCGGTTACCGATAGATTTAGTTTTTAGGATTTTCAATATTTTAAAAGCTTTAAAAGAATTTTTATAAGCCTTATAAAGCATTCATTAGGTTTAAATTTTTATATAAATTGAACATTTTTATTTAGAAATTTCTGAATAAAAACGTAGTTATTTCACATAGGATTTAATTCGGGACTGTAAATATTAAATTTTAATTGTATTTTTCCAGTTAATATTAATATTTAGAAAACTAAGATTTAGTTACAATTTAATCATGAAAGCAATTCATTATTTCTATAATTAAATAATTCTGTTATAGACAACATTATAAAGAATTTTTTAAAATAAATTAATATAAATTAAAAATTTCAGTTAAAAATTATTTAATCAAATTAAATTAAACTTTAAAATATCTTTAATTGTTTCAATTATTAGTTTTAAATCAATAAGACTGCGGAAGATGAACTAAAAAATTAATTACCAAATATAAAATACAAAAGTTTTAATTAAAAATTAACGTAACTAATCACTTCATTATCAAATTTTGATTTTCCTTCTTAAGAAGCAATTGAGATCGTTTTTAAAATTATGTTGCTTATTTCTGGTTAAAAGATTGCCAAATTTTTAATTGGAAATGATCGATATATTTTTCTAATTGTGTTGATTGATCTATCATATAAGTTATGATTAATGATATCATTGTATCCTAAGTAAAAAATTATTTTAAATAAATAGGCCTTGCTTCAGATATTAGAATCTATTTTTGCAGTGAGAATTTTGTATGTCGAACTCTATATTTGTAAAGATTATTCTTGAATGACGTAATATTGATTAATTTGTCACAACCTTCTGATCTCCTAAGGTGCAATTTTGGATCGTTTCCAATTACCATTTGGAAAAAATCATTTCTACTTTTGTAAATAGCATAAAAGTTATTTGTTGGTGAATTAAGTTTTTGGAGGAAATATGTTCTTAAAAAATTGCTTTATATTTTAGGAACAAAAATATATTTCATTTACATCTTCATAAGTGAAATATTTACTTATAAAGTATCGATTAACGACGTTTCAAAAATGGTATTTTCGGCTTTGTTGACGATAACTGTATTAAGTACCCAAGTAAGTAAAGTACATAAATTACTTTTTATATGAAGTAAAATAAATAAATGATATTAAACTATTTTTAAAACTAGCAATCAGAAAATTATACAAGTTATATAGAGGATTATAATGAGTCGACTGCCTCATTAACATCGATTTTATGTCGAAGTGAAAGAGGTGTTTCTTTGCCATTTGACATCTACAGAAGAGACACGTGTGCTCGATGCTATAATTATCTTCCATCATGGGCCTTTGTTGATACTGAATGGAGATTTATGTAAACAGTAATTTAATTAAAATAAATAAAAACTATAAAATGAAGATTAACTTAGTTAACTTCTAAATCTAAATTATATTTCTTTTAGTTATAATTATCGCACCGGTGCACTGAAAGATCCAAGGTCAAATATAAGTTACTTAATAGATCCCGGGAATTCGTCTCATCCCATATTTGATACGTTTAAAAATAAAGTATTTGTCTCAAAATGGATAGAATGTTGTCGTGCCGCTGTTGCATGCTGTCAGAAAATGATGAAGGATCCCATTCCTGTAAATGGTAAGAGGAACTTACAATTGTAAAGAATTTAAATTTATAAATTAATGTATGAAATAACTTGTGCGCTTTAATTAAAGAAACTCTTTATTGCCCGAGAACATGGGATGGTTGGCAATGTTGGACAGATACTCCTTCGGGACAAGTTGCAAAATCTGTTTGTCAAGAGCATATATACTTCTCTAGCGAGCCGCCATCGTGTCCAAGTAAAAGTTAATAGTGTTTGCAATTTATTTAAATTAGCAAATTAACTGTATGTAATTTTTTAGGATACGCTATCAAAACTTGTATGCCAAATGGGAAATGGTACTTACGCAATTTTTATAAAACTGAATGGACTAATTACAACGAATGTGGAAGAGTTCAGGTAGATATTGCGTAAATTCTGAGAATACTTATTCAGAAATTGACATATTTATTATATTTTTATTTAGGGAATACTACGACTTCAATATTTTCACATAGCGACATACTGTATATCAATATTTTTCTTAATACCGGCTATATTCATTTTTATCATATATAAGTATGTTTATCAAAATAATATTTATTATTAACATTTTTAAATAAATTTTTATACTAAATCTATTTATAATGTTTTAAAGACAACTGCAAGTATATCGCATTACCATGCATAAAAATCTCTTTGCTTCGCTACTCTTAAATGGAATCTTTGTCGTTCTCTTTAAATCGATTGTCATGCTTGATGAACTCGATAATTTCGATAATACAACTACAATTTTGGATCAAAATGGAGTAAATTTTATTAAAAATTATCATACTTACTGTTTCAAATTTTATTTTATTCATTGACATATTTTGATTCCAGCCGGGATGCAAATTTCTCTTTATCATAACTAAATATTTACGAATGACTAATTACATGTGGATGTTCTGCGAAGGATTATACTTACATCGATTGATTGCAGCAGCATTTGCAGAGCAGGAAAGTCTTGTGCTTTTTTATGTCATAGGCTGGGGTAAGTACTGTACAGTACCTCTGAAACATTTATAATTATTTAACTATTTTCTTCTATTTTTTTAAACATTTATTTACTTTCAATCTTAAATTTTTCAGTATTTCCTATCATACCTGTTGCCATTTATGCTTTCCTGAGAGAAACGTTTGCCAACGAACAGTAAGAGTTTTAATTACTAAGTTTTATTAAATTAAATATCTATTCATTAATTACAGTGAATAGATTGTAAATTATCTCTGTAGAATGCGTTTACCCAAAGATAACTTTATGAGTGTTATTTTAATTTAAAACTTGGCGTTTTAAAGAATATCTTCTCGTCTTTCAAACTATTTTAATTTTCCTTTAAAGTATTTCTTTGTTCAAGTTTGTGAAAACAACTTTTATTGTTTTTTTATGTTTATTTAGATATTCATTTTAAAATTCCTTCAAGTTTGTAGCTTGTATGTTGTTTTAAATTACGATTATATGAATTAATTTTTAAAACTAAAGAAAAAAAAATACAGACTATATTTTACAGATAATAAAAAGATAAAAAGTAATTTATTTTATTGTTTATTATTTTCGTCATTCATAGAAAGAACTTACAGTTACATTCTTGAAAAAAATTATGCTAATGCTTTATTTTTTCCTTCTTAGCAAATTTGCATTCCATTTAATTTAAATATTAAGATATGATTTAATTAATAGACTATGTTACTAAAGTAAACGTTGAATCAGAAGCAATGAATACGAACAGGCAACTATTTTATTTATTATGCTGAAGAATCAATGTTGCTGAGTGGAATGTAATATAAAATTCAGCAAATAGTTTTATCTAAAATCCTCTACTGTATAAAAATTTAAATTAAGTTTTATAAAATAATAATAATAATTAAAACATTTTACTATATAATCTAAGAATTTAAATTTACAAAGAGAAAAATGAAATCGTTATATTTTAATTATTTCGTCTTATATTCAATACGTTAATTATATTAATATATCATTATAATGCTTTATTTGTTTATATTACAAGGTAGAGTAATGCAATAGAATAAATGCCTCCATTAAAAATACAATACAAGAGAGTTATAATTCTTCTTTATTATAATAAGTTCAATAAACCGAAAAAGTTTCTTTAGTTCTCTTTTAAATGGCGTTTATTATAAATCTCTTATTATTTATTTTATTAAGGTAAAAATTAATAATATTCTCGTGTAAATTTGAATTTCTATGAAATACCTTGGTTGTGGAAATTTATGAAAAATTCACCGTATTTATTCAATATTCGAAACTTTTTCTTTCCTACAACATAGAAATCGTGTTGACTGAATATTCATTGTATATTTAAGTAGGCTAAAATGTTTCTTCACAAAACTTTCAATGTTAGAAAAATCTTTATTAAGTAGAGTCAAGCAGACTAATTTAATACTTTATCTTGTGTTTTATTTGCTTACGATTTTCAGTTGTTTTCTCTAGTAAACTACTGAAACTGACTTATTGCTTCCAAGAAGAAAGAAATTAAAAGAAAGAATTTGATTTTGGCAGTTTCTAGTTAGCTATTGAAAGAAATTTTGTTATTGTGTTTACTTTCTATTTTGATAGTATTGTAACTTACAGAATTTTTTTCTATTATAATATGTTTACAAAATAATATTTTTGCAACTAACTTAGTTTGAAATTTTTTTTAAATTATCAAATCGTTCAATCTAAATATTTACTGAAAACAAGTTTGAATTAGTTATTTAAATCTTTATTTAAAATATTTAATATTTAAATCTATTATTGAAATATTATTAAATCGGATTGATGGATAAGGCAATGTAAATATGGGCGATGTGCCAAGGTCCCTCATATGAAGGCTTTTTTTTTTTAAATAAGAAACTGTTCCCTATTTAGATATTAGACAAGTGAAGAAATCCGGAAAACTCCACGCGGCCAGTCCGTTGGTGAGGTGTAAACTCACAACAACTACAAGTATTTGGTGGTTTTATTCACTTGGCCATTGGTGGATAAATATTATTATAACTTTTCTATTATAAAATGTTAACATTGACGATTATCAATAAGAAAAATATGTAAAAGTAAAAAAATGGTTTCGTTCTGATGGTTTTCATTTACTACTAATTTAACGTCTGTAAAAATGATTATTTCAACAAATGCAAATTCCTCCCAATTAGTTGAGTCTATAATCAGAATGAGAAGACTGAAGAGTTTCTGCCTTCAGTTTTTCTTTCTTTAATTTGGTTAAATAATTTATTACATTAAAATATTTTATGAGTTTCGAACAAAAACTAGTTGAAACTTTATTTAATTCAATGTGTCTCAAGTAAAGAAAACTAAAACTCGGATTAAATGGATCGAAATAACATGACTTGGATCTTGTTTTATTCTAAAAAAATTTCTGTTATTTGTATTCGCATACTATCCTATGTTTTTGCTCCCTATTACATTTNAAGTATAATTTTTTATTGTTTTTATATTTTTCAATATATTTATTTTGTTTGTACAAAATAAAAAAATAATTTTTAACGATACAATAGTCTTCGTTAGGCTTAACATCGACGAAAATTCAATGCAAAGCGACATGCAACGGAGAAAAATTTCAACATGGGATAGGTTAATATATTTTTTCGTACATAATCGGTTATCTAAAATATCGATTTTCCGAACAACCCCAGTCCCAATTGATTCGGATAACCAACACTCTACTGTATTCCTATCTGTTGATTGAACAGCTGAACTTGTTAAGTAGCAAGCATACATTACAATATATATCACCTCCTTGTTAATCAGAAATATTAACGAGGAAAACATTTTAATATACTTGATTATTAATATTTGTTTTTTGTAATATGGAAAACATATATGCATTTTATGTAAAAGAAAATATTTCACTGATAACATGGCTTAATTATTAAAAATTATCTAACAAACCAGATATCTTTTAATCTCAAATAAAATTACAATGATTTATTTTACATTAGAAAATTAGTTTTTTTTAATTCCTGGAAAGTTTTTTAATATTGATTTATTAAATATGTAAATAATTCTAGGCAATAGAATATTTGACAACCATAATGCTGTCGAGAAAGCAGTAAACAGTGGACAATGCTTGTACAAAATATCCAGCTATACAAGTTTTCCAATGCATGATTTTTATAGGTAAGCAACTTATTTTACCTTGTACAACTAACATATTTATATAATTTGCTTTACTTTAGAAATAATAATAATTTTAATATTTACAGATGTCGTACATGTAATACAACAGACAGAAATGCAATTTGTGTTAATTGTATTAAAACATGCCATGCTGGTCATGATGTTGAATTCATTAGGCATGACAGGTACTGTTTCTTAATGTTGTCATTATAAAAACTATTATTTTTTTAATATTATATATGTAATTCTTGAAATTTAAATTATATATATCAGCTTATCACGGAAATAAGGCTAATGAAGTATAGTATTTTTTCATTTTTGTTTATTTTTAACATTTTTACTACAAAAAATGATCATGGTTATGTTCCAAAGTTCAGTTCTAATTCATTATTTAGTTTATTAGAGAATAGAAATTATTTTAACATTTTTGTATTCAAGAATGATTTGTCACAAAAATCATAATTTGATATAGCCAAAATAATTTAAAATTTTCTCAGGTGTTTTGCTTCTTCCATCATATACACATCTATTTGTGAAATAGTTTTCACAAATACATTGATGATGATAATTTTATCTTTATAATAAGCTTCAAACATATCAGAGTAATTCGTTATGAATACCTAGGTAAATTATGCCTATACTAGAAATGAAAAATATAAAGCATGTCTATAATTTATAGATAGGTATATATTTATAAGTTTCAATAAATTTTTTCACAAATTTTATTTCAGGACAGGAAGTAATCCTGTCATCCGAAGAAACAAAATTTGGGGAGGACAAAATGGAGGCGTTTTAGTTTATAATGGGGGTTTGGGAATTCTAGAACAGAATGAAATATTTGACAATGCAATGGCAGGAGTTTGGATCAAAACAGACAGCAATCCAACTTTGAGGAGGAATAAAATATATGATGGTCGAGATGGAGGAGTGTGTATTTTTAATGGTGGAAAAGGTAAAAAATTTTAATAAAATTTAAATGAATAAACAGCTATGATAAAAGATTACTTTTGATTTAAAGGTATTTTAGAAGAGAATGATATTTTTCGTAATGCACAAGCTGGAGTTCTGATTAGCACTCAGAGCCATCCATTACTCAGGCGTAACAGAATATTTGATGGTTTAGCAGCAGGAGTAGAAATTACAAACAATGCAACGGCTACATTAGAGTACAATCAGATATTTAATAATAGATTTGGTGGTCTTTGTTTAGCTAGTGGAGTCCAACCAATTTTAAAAGGTATTTATATAAATGATAAATTTATCATTAATTAACATCAAAACATTTATTTTTCTTTCTTTTTATTATATTAGTTGTTAATTGAATTTACAATAAACATTTTTAAAAAACACTAATGAAAGAATATTAAAAGTACAGAATGAAAATCATCAAATAAATGTTTAATAGGTTTGCTTCATTTATGTTACTCTGGTTATCATAATAAAAAATGATGATGATAATAATAATAATAAACTACGTTTGTGCTTAATTAAATATTTTTTTAGAATAATTCTTTTTATTATACCCAAATGTTTTCATATGTATTTCCTAACAGGTTTCCAAATAAATCAGGTTTCTTTTTTCTATAAATCAGTAGTATTTTAGAAAATGAAATGAGTTATGAAAAGCCACTATCTACTATACAAATATATATTTTTAAATTCAGAAATAATACCATAACATTCAAGTCTTATGCATTNCAGTGCTGTGGCGCTGTAATCTTTGGCTATGTCTTCGGCTACTCAAATATTTTACGTTTTTGATACTAAATTAACTTCTGAAGTATAATTTTTTATTGTTTTTATATTTTTCAATATATTTATTTTGTTTGTACAAAATAAAAAAATAATTTTTAACGATACAATAGTCTTCGTTAGGCTTAACATCGACGAAAATTCAATGCAAAGCGACATGCAACGGAGAAAAATTTCAACATGGGATAGGTTAATATATTTTTTCGTACATAATCGGTTATCTAAAATATCGATTTTCCGAACAACCCCAGTCCCAATTGATTCGGATAACCAACACTCTACTGTATTCCTATCTGTTGATTGAACAGCTGAACTTGTTAAGTAGCAAGCATACATTACAATATATATCACCTCCTTGTTAATCAGAAATATTAACGAGGAAAACATTTTAATATACTTGATTATTAATATTTGTTTTTTGTAATATGGAAAACATACATGCATTTTATGTAAAAGAAAATATTTCACTGATAACATGGCTTAATTATTAAAAATTATCTAACAAACCAGATATCTTTTAATCTCAAATAAAATTACAATGATTTATTTTACATTAGAAAATTAGTTTTTTTTAATTCCTGGAAAGTTTTTTAATATTGATTTATTAAATATGTAAATAATTCTAGGCAATAGAATATTTGACAACCATAATGCTGTCGAGAAAGCAGTAAACAGTGGACAATGCTTGTACAAAATATCCAGCTATACAAGTTTTCCAATGCATGATTTTTATAGGTAAGCAACTTATTTTACCTTGTACAACTAACATATTTATATAATTTGCTTTACTTTAGAAATAATAATAATTTTAATATTTACAGATGTCGTACATGTAATACAACAGACAGAAATGCAATTTGTGTTAATTGTATTAAAACATGCCATGCTGGTCATGATGTTGAATTCATTAGGCATGACAGGTACTGTTTCTTAATGTTGTCATTATAAAAACTATTATTTTTATTTCATATTATTAATCTAAAAAACTCTTAAATATTATAACAAAATATTTTTAGTTACAGGATACCGTATTATTGTTAAGCAGGTTATACAGTTAAAAAGTATAATACAGTTAAAAAAATAAAAATGATCAATAAAAAAACATTTATTACAAGAATTGATTGCAGATTAAATTTAAATAACAATTTAATATTAATTTTATTAAAAATAAATATATGAAGCATGTAATATTTCTGAAATGGTATATAAATGAATGCCATATAATTATCATTATTATTTATAACATAAAAATACAATAATCTGGTTTTATTTGGTAGTAGTAATTCAATGAAAAAAATGATTTCAACAACATTGGAACAATATTCAAATTAGTACAGAAACTTTCACATAATTGCATTAAAAAAATAGATGTTATTTTTATACAATGATAGCTAGGCCAAATATCAAAATTAATAATTTTTAACATTGATTTAAATTGTCACAATTTTTTGTTTTTAATGTTAGGATTATTTATTTTAATGACTATATTGTAATATTATAGATTAGATGCTATATTTTTTGACAATTATAATTTAGTAGTCAAATTTTTAAACATTAGACATATAGAAGAATAACAATAAAAATCAAAATTTATGAAAGAAATGTGACATAAATTCTACAAAGCAGATACAAATACAGAAGCCAAATTTCTTTTTCATGGTAACATTTTAAAATTTCTCAGTTTAATTAATAATTCTTTGATATTAAATGTAAATTTATCATTAGCATATGATTTAAAGGAGGATGTTCAGTTCTATAATAAAAACTAGTAATGAAAAATATAAAGCATGTCTATAATNGGGTCTTTGCTGTCAGACGTTAATGCATATGGATCTTGCTTGCACAGATCATAAGACACTGAATTATCGTGAATACTATACTGTACAGTTTTATAAGGCCAAGTTGAAAGATAATTTACTGCAAAGTTTTGTGCCTGTCATTTTGATCAGTTTGTCAGCTTAGTAGCTTGGACTGCAGCTTTCTTCACTCATATTTTTGAAAACAAACTGTAAACTGTTTTGTAACAACTCGATAGGATATACATTATTACCATATATCTCAGTGAACCAACAATAGATTTTGGTCAAGAGCATGTCATTAACCATTAGTGGGAGCTGCACCTGAGTGGATTACCTTGTAGTTTTCACATCACATTTGATATCACTTGCACTTATCTGTTATGTTGGATCATTTAAATTTGTTAGTGTTTACCTCACCAGTGAATGATGGTGAGGACATGAGGAGCAGGATTTTGTGTGCAGCAAACAGTCCATGGTACTTTTAGGATCTTTGAATGAGTTTGACAATGGTTTACCATTCTGAGCTTTGTTTACATGTCATTGATGGCTTTGAGAACTTCCTGTAATTATACAGATTTAACATCTACCTCTAATACCAAATTACTTAATCAGACTATTATTAATAATTAGAAATTAACTATGGCTATCATTTGGTTTATTTATTGTGACTTTGTTACAATTCTCTGAAAATTTTATGTAATCATTTGTTGTTAATAATTGATATACTGTTGAAGAACTGAAAAATTATATAAAATTATGAACTTAAATTCTGAGAATATTTCTATTTTCATTAAAAAAACAGATTATAGGAATGGTGTTTTATTTTTATAAGAATGAAAACACAACAGAAACATAACCATTTTGTTAAGAATAAATCAACATGTTTTATTAAAAAATGCTTTAAAAAGTTAGCTTTTATATTTGTTTAATAAGTGTCATTCATTTATCGTTTTCTTTCATTTTAAATAAAAAACAGTAGAGCGTCGATTATCCGAATCAATTGGGGACTCGAGTTGTTCGGAAAATTGATTTTTTGGATAATCAATTATGTATGAAAAAATACATTATTAATATAGTATATTACCGTGTTTCCCCAAAAATAAGACCTACCATAGGTTTTGCTGAATTGCTAAATATAAGGCCTCCCCCCGAAAGTAAGACCTAGCAAAGTTTTTTTTTACTCGTAACGGTCATCGACAGATGGTTGAAAGTGGCCGTTGGCTTTTTCAAAGTACAGCCACTGATTGATCAGCAGATAATCACGCCACACGGCATGATTTGCATAAAACTATGGCTTGGGAATCAAAATTTGCATAATGTTACGGCTGGTGATCGCTAATTGGTCGGCCAGGAATCACACCACATGACATTTGCATAGTGCTACAGTTCAGTAAGCACTAATTGGTCATCGAGTCCGATGTCGACGTTATAAAAAAGTTAAGTTGAAGCGAGAATGGGAAGTCCACTCCAGCACGGGAACTTTGTAAGTTCACTACTGAGGCCTGATTGTAAGGCAATCAATGGCCTAGCCCAGGGGTCGGCAACCTTTTGAGTCGGAAGAGCCAAAAATTACAATTTACAAAATTTCAAAGTTTTTAAAGAGCCACAAAATTTTTTCTTGCCAACAAAAAATAGTACTTGCATAAATAAAGTTTTTCGATAAAAAAAAACGAATCTATTTATTCAGAATTGTCTTGCGTCGAAAGCGAATTAAACCTCATAGAAACATCCGACGACAGCGTCATTCGAGAGCTTCCGATGGACTGACGACAGTGACGACGCGTGTCACGGGGGAGGGGTGCAATGAAAAGCGAGTACAAGTGGCTGAGAGATAGAATCAGTGCCGAATCCTCGTTAATCGATTCAGAACGATTTTTAAATGTTTTTTTTGATAAAATAAATAATATTTGCATATGGAACTAAAGAGCCGCAGATTCGCATCCAAAGAGCCGCATGTGGCTCGCGAGCCGCAGGTTGCCGACCCCTGGCCTAGCCCGGTCTTTGGATCGGGCAATGAGGGCTATTTTTGTGAATGGTCGCTACTTGCTTGGCACTTGGGCTGGGGGACTTGTCTCCCATCCATTAGGGGTGCTGTATAGGAGTAGTCGTACCGGATGCCAGATCGTTCAATAAACTTTATTGACGTTGGTTTTATTTAAGTTCAGTTCAACACGACCGGATATACGTCACTCTCGTCTAAGTTCGACTTGGGAATTTTTTTCAATAATAAATGTGAATTCTTCTTCATGGAAAAAATAAGACATTCCCTGAAAATAAGACCTAGTGCATCTTTCAGAACAAAAATTAATATAAGACACTATCTTATTTTTAGGGAAACATGGTAGTATAGTATATCCCAATAATAGTATATTAATATGTCTCATGTTTAAATTTTTCTCCGTTGTGTGTCGCTTCGCATTGAATTTTCATCAATGTTAAACCTAATGTAAACTTTTTAAAATAATAATCGTGGCTATTGTATCGTTAAAAATTATTTCTTTATTTTTTACAAACAAAATAAATATATTGAAAAATATAAAAATAAAAAAAAAATTATACTTTAGAAGTTAATCTAGTATCAAAAACGTTCGATTCAGCAGGACACACAGTCCTCAGATAAACACTATACAAAAGTGCCAGTGATGCCAGCTAAAACACACACCAACAAAAAAATATTGGAGTAGCCCAAGATATAGCAAAAGATTGCAGTGCCACAGCACTAGCGAAAATTTAAATTTGCCGACTGGAATGCTTTTGGATAAATGACTCTCTACTGTATTTAGTCACTTATATTTTATAAAATATGCTTTTATATGTATAGTAATTTAAAATTAAAAATTATTAGTATTCTCATTTTATTTATATTCATATTGGATATAAAATTAATTTTCTCCTCTACAAATCTTACAAAATTTATTTGTTATGTGTGTCTAGAATTTCTATGTTGAGTAATAAAAAGGTAAATTTATGAAGCCAATAACAAAGACAAATGCTATTTTGTAGAAATGAAAATATGCAAGATTTATTTGAAAACAATATGCTATTTCTACACAAAATTGCCCATCCTCAAAAAATTCCAGTTTCTATTGCTGCAGTCTTTTGGATGGACATGAACTGGAGAAAATCATTCTCTTGCCTGTAACATTTGAGACATGCCGACATTTGGTGGGTCTTTGCTGTCAGACGTTAATGCATATGGATCTTGCTTGCACAGATCATAAGACACTGAATTATCGTGAATACTATACTGTACAGTTTTATAAGGCCAAGTTGAAAGATAATTTACTGCAAAGTTTTGTGCCTGTCATTTTGATCAGTTTGTCAGCTTAGTAGCTTGGACTGCAGCTTTCTTCACTCATATTTTTGAAAACAAACTGTAAACTGTTTTGTAACAACTCAATAGCATATACATTATTACCATATATCTCAGTGAACCAACAATAGATTTTGGTCAAGAGCATGTCATTAACCATTAGTGGGAGCTGCACCTGAGTGGATTACCTTGTAGTTTTCACATCACATTTGATATCACTTGCACTTATCTGTTATGTTGGATCATTTAAATTTGTTAGTGTTTACCTCACCAGTGAATGATGGTGAGGACATGAGGAGCAGGATTTTGTGTGCAGCAAACAGTCCATGGTACTTTTAGGATCTTTGAATGAGTTTGACAATGGTTTACCATTCTGAGCTTTGTTTACATGTCATTGATGGCTTTGAGAACTTCCTGTAATTATACAGATGCATAGTATGGGTATCCAGCAGGGTAATGTGTTGCATGCAGTGTACCACTCCCAACTTTAATGTTGCCTGTTGGGAAATGACACACTCCTGACTTTATGTTGTCTGACAAAATATGTTCATTGCATGGGCTTTTGAATCATCCGATATTATATATGATTTGAGATTAATGATATTGTTGATTACAGCGGAAATTATTTTCACTGAATGGTGTTTTGTTGATGTTTTTTTTTCATAACAAGTAACTTACTTAGAACTTCTGTATATAATTTATTATATGGCCTGAGATAATGTGGACTGAGATTATAATAAGTTATCAAAATTGATGAGTTTTACAGACTCTTGTGTTAACATAGAGTGAAAGAAAAGAGATTGTGTTAAAATGCAGGTTAAATTTGACCATCTTTTCATTGGTGGGAGTATGTTGCCAACTGTAGTGGAATTATGCTAAATTAACTAATTTGTTTAGAATGCTGTACAGCACCATTACAATGATGCTAGACTAAATAGTGGAATATTTGTTAAAGTATTGTATGTTCAAGTTCATATATTTATTAACTACATATCAATAATGGTTATTTCTATTCGTAGTTAAATTTTAATTTAAAAAAATATTGGCTTTTCAGTGGCTATATTCCAGTTAGTGACATTAGCATCATGGCATCTTGAAAAAAGATCTATATTCTTTATTATCAAGTGTCACTAGTGAAGAACAATTACTTATTTCATCCTAGTGTTAAGTTACAAATTAAAATTTAGATTATATGTATTTTGTTTTTGAACAACAAAATGAGCTTTACAGAATGTTGAGTTTAGGGGACTCTACTGTATATAAGAAAAGTACAACCAGATGAAGTGATAATCTTGTCTTGCTCCAATGGCTTTCTATGGCTTCTCAAATTTGTTTTAAGAATTAAATATCTTACCAGATGATCGTTATAACTATTACTTTAATCTCATTATGCTTAAATTTATGGGAATAAAGTAAAATCCATAATACATATGCAAAGCACAGTATAAAATATCATATTATTTTTGTCGAGGAACAAAGTAAAAATTATATTTAAGTACTTTTGCCATTTGTAAATATTAACACCAAAAAATAATACAGATTTTGCTTTGTTTTTTGAAATAGGTCATCACTTAGGTTATTTTCTTTTGTCAGTTTGTTACTTCATACAGTTTTAATCTATTATTGAATCTTTTTACTCTCTTAGATTATAGTATATATTGCTTTCAAACAGTTTATATTCCCATCCACTAAGCATATTATATTACTCTTACATGTTTGGATTAATATATTTGTTTTTTGTATTTTTGCGCATTTTAATTGATGATTTAATAATAATTGATTTTTAAAATCAGATCGTTATTAATCCTTTTACTGGTATAAACAAGAACTTTTTGTGTTTTTGGTAATACTGACTCTTTTGAGAATTTTTTGTAAATCTTGAAATGATTAACATGCCTGGCAAAGTTGGATCCTACTGAGTGAGAACCAAATATGCCATTGAAAAGGTTAACGAAAATTATAATTATGGAATTGGTCTTGTTTGAAAATGTTAGAAACTGTGATGAAATTAATATATTTTAGTTCCTTCACATAGAAACATAGACTCAGATGTCCGATGCGTGAACAGAACTGGCACTGATTTGGAGTGTGTGAGTAATTTCATCAATACTCACACACTCCAAATCTGTGTGTTTACTGCTGAAATGTTGCATTTGGTCATAACAAATGCATTTGTCCAGCTCTGGGAAGGTCTGCCATCTTCACACACTCACTCCTGAACTTCTTGCACCATTTGAACATGATACTCCATTCTGCATGTGCTGAAAAATGTCTATAGACTCTGTGCCTTCCTTGCATTGAAACTGTATCACAGCCCTTTGGGCAAGCTTCAATATATCCACAAGTAGCCTGACTTCACATGTTGTGCTTCTGCTAGTTTCGTATGCCTCAACAATGAATAACTTCCTCACAGGTATGTTTCCCTCCACCTGTACAGTAGCACTTGACTCACCCTCAAAATTGTCAGTGTTGCCACTGCAATCTATTTCATTTGAAGGAACTACATATAAACAGATTATTCAATAAAATTTATATACTAGAGTGATGTTTTAGTTTTTTGTATTTACTGAAATTTCTTACAAAAAAACTTCAATTATGAATATTTTCATATAAATAAAAAAATTGTTTATTTTTGAATACATTAACTAATATTAATCAGATGACATTATATAGAAAAGTTTTATCTTTAAACAAATTTATAATTAAAATGTGTATATTTTTAGGTTTTTCTGCGACTGTGGTGCTGGAACTCTTAGTAATCAGTGCCAGCTTCAAGGTGAACCCACTCAAGATACAGATACATTATATGACTCTGCAGCCCCAATGGAATCCCACACTTTAATGGTTAACTAAACAAGATTTCATTATTAAGTAGGGGCACTATAGTTGGACATTCTTTCCCAGCATTGGATAACAAGTCTGTCCAAACGGTGTTGCTTATATACCACTCTTGTTCCTCCACAGTTCAAGTGCAGCTAACAGGAACATCGCAGGATTCTCTAGTCAGATGCCATCAAATGCATCACCTGCTTCCCTCGCTTTTCTTCCCTTGTGACATATGTTCTTACTGTGTCATATGTGGTTTTCACAAAAGAATTATATTCATTGTGTCGTAGAAAAACTGAAGAGAATTGCTGTTCTACAACATGAATGAGTTCATCTTAAGTGAATCTCCATAATTGAAAGATAAGAAAAATAACTAACAAAACTCGTTGTCTGGATGTCCTCTATGTTTCTAATCCAGACAGATCCCACTAGAAAACAGTTGGGTATAAAGAAGTTTAAAAAATACAAAAAATGTAATCATGTAAATAGAAATTGTAGATGTTTGAGAGATGTCATTTTTTGTTTTTTTTGTTTTTTTTTTTTTTTTTTTTTTTTTGTTTTTCCACTTAATAGATTCCTTAGCAGCGTGGTATATCTAGTTAGTTGTGAATCTGCAAGAAGTGTTAGAGTTGCAGCGCTGTAATAGATGTGCACGTCTCCATGTAATGTATTACCAATTTTGTACTGCCACATATTCCAGGTGGGAATATTCTAATATTTCTCAATGTCAAATATTTTGGCAATATTTTTCCCCCGTTCTTCCTTCAATTATATGACTATTGTATAATCTGTGTGATCTGCACATTTTACTAGTGTGCATGAGAGTGCAAGTGTGCGCGCATGTATGTAATTCAATTTGTCCACAAAGCTTCCATTTTTTTCCGTCATTTGATGTTGTGCCAGATTATCATACACCTTTAAAAGAATTGCTGCTCTTCACCGTCTCCACGTTACGTTGCACATTTTAAATTTGTTCGTATTTCATATTTTATTCCAATCCAATTATTACAATGTACAGGTGTTTTTCAAGAATGATTTAAACGCAATTTCATAATTGGATTTAAAATTGTTTTTATCACTGTGGTTTCCACGTGCCATTTTTTTTTTTTTTTTCCTTCTCACTCCTCCATTTGCCGTTAGTAAACATAGAAATTTGTTTTTTAATGTTATTTTGAAATAACTTTATGTGGTTTATAAATCATAGTACTTAAATTAATTTAAAAAGTTTTATTATATTCAAATCGATGAAGATTAAATTATCAATATCATATCAGCAATGGTTAGAATATCAAGATTTTGGAATAGAAAAAGTAACTGTATCCCTGCCAAATCCTGCAAATGGAATTTTATACAGTTTCATATCAAAAGTTTGAAGTCCAGGTGTAAATTTAGCTCTGGCATTTCTGCATAAAATAGCTAAAAATTGTTTTAAAATATCATAGGAAAATGTTCTGTTTTAATTTACTTCTAATTTGCTCTTAATTTTCATTGGAAGAAAACATAATTTGTTTCTTTTTTTACTAGGATGTTTCCGTTATAAAATATTTAGCATCCATAAATAAATATATTGATGTGCAAGTCAGAAGTAAATAAATATATACATACATATATATATATATATATTTTGTGTGTCTTCTATATACATATACATACAAAATATATATGTATACAGAAAGATTTGTAATATTTAAAACAAAAAAAGCACATATATATACAGATTTGTACCATTTAGTCCATGTTCAATGTAGATCATCATCAGCATTTAAAATTTCCAGTTATCAGAAAGAGTTATTTCATTGTCTGTGTTCATTATTATTTAAAATATTTGTCTTCTCCATTTCATAGCATTGTGTAAACAAGATAAAAGTTTTCTGTTGTTTTTTTCTTTTGTCAGATTCTGAAACATCTTACTTCATTAAAAAAATGGCAGTGAAATCCAAAATGATGACGAACTTTAAAGCTGTATGTATTAAAATATACTTTTAGTTGGTTACACTTAAGTATGGCTCTCAGTTTTTTTATCATTAAATGTGTGGCTATACAACTTCAAAAAAAAAAAAATTATATAGAATGACTATGTGATAAAGTAAAAAGAAGTGCCAGGGGGTTGTCACGTTCACCAAAACTGCACTGCCACATTTATATATAATTTTGTGATGTGTCTACTAAGGAATGGCTAGTGCCAAAAATTAAATTTTATAATATACTTTAAGTGACACTTTATTAAATCCAAATATATATATAATTGAATCTGGGATTTGAAATGAATTAAGGAGAAATGCTTTATTATTATTCTTTTCTTTTTTTCTTTATTTCTTTGTTAATTTCTAGATTTTTTTTCTTTTTTGTTAGGAGAAAAGTGCCTTGTCTCTGTATAAATTAATGCAGTTTTATTAAAGTTAGTTCTTCCTGTACAACATTTTCTCCATTCAAAAGAAACAAATACACAGTTTACAAAATAGAGAAACAATTATTGTTTATACAAGAATTTTAAAAAGAAGATTCAATTATCTGGCATTAATTCTAAATTATTTCTTTATCTGTTAATGTAATTTCGTCTTTTAACAGACTGGATTCTAAGTAACTACTAGGCTTTTTATTTTAATGTTTTAAAGCCTAAAATTACCCATAGAACGTACTAAAATTAATTTTGTTATTTTATCAAACTTTAATAATTTATTTCTACTTTATAATTAATAAGCAGAGCTTAAAATCTGTTTGCTTAAAAGTAAGACTAATACAAAATCCAGTTTTCTTTATTTGTGAATTTTAGAACCCTTCGATTATGCTTTACAAAAGCAGCAAAAATTTAAAAAAAAAACCTGTCAGATAATTGAAACTTGTATTAATTTTATCTTCGGCCATTAAATGGGCAAAAGTCTAATAAAGAATACAATTAATAGACTTTAATTTATGAAAATGATGTGAAAAAATCTCCATGTATCAATACAATGAATTGTAAAAGTTTTTTTAAATACTTAAAAAAAAAAAGAAATAATGTTAATTTAGCATGGGGAAATGTGATATATATATAAATATATATATATATATATTTGATCTGTTAATTTTATTATTATTATTACTTTTTTTCCCTATTCAGTTTCTGAATTGAATGATAATGGCATGGTGCCTTAGCACTGCTAAAAATGTTAAATAAATGAATCTGAAGATATACTGTCTTGGAAATATTTGCAGTACATTTATATACATGGTGTGACATTTAATGTGTTCATCTTTTGTTTTAATATGAAGTGATTTGTGACGTATTTTACCTCCTATCCTTACCTGGTAATGTATTTGCTGTTCATAGTAAATATCCTTTGCATTTCTCATATTGTGTCATATTTTTATTTGAAAAATATATATTTAAATGTTTTTAAGAGTTTTTAGATGTATGAATAGAAAATATTTAATCGTATAAAATATATTATTTCACTTCTTATAAATTTAGTTTCAGAATTAGATTTAATTCACAAATTAATACATGATTATATATAGGGTGATTCAAAACTTGGGGTATAAACTTAGGGGAACCAGAGAACGTGAAAACAAAACATATTTACATAAGAATGTATGATCAGAAATATTGTTCTAATGTGATAGAGGATGTTGTTCACCAGTGATGCAGTGGGTTGGTTTGGTTTACCTCATTTGAGGTACTGACTTCATACGCAGAACATGCATTATTTTATGAATGCCGAAATGGCAGTCAAGCAGTTTGCTTAGGTGCAGCTAATGGAAATGGACTATATGTTACACGATTGTATCACAAACTTGTCATCACCGAGTCCTAGTGTATCCTCTAGGACGTTAGGATGGCGTATCTGATTGCACATTCCTACATGAATGTTGTTTGTTTTTTGTTCTTTGCTTCACCTAAAAGTTTATATCCCAAGTTTTGAATCACCCCCTATACTGTATATATATTTAATGCCACTCTACAAGTAGATTGAATATCAAACAGCATAAAATTTACAAAAATATTCATTATAAAATATAATAATGATCTGCTTTATTGGACTTTCGCTCTAATAACACTTTTTCTCGAGTACTTTCGGGCAGCCAAGCTCATTGACCAGACAGTGGGTTGCCCAAAAGTACTTGAGTAAAATTATTACTAAAGCAGATTATTATGATATTTTTTTAAAAGAACTTTCAGTTGTTTTGTATTAATACTCATTATATATATAATATAGGAAAAGGATTCATTTCATATTAAAAAATTAAGTGAATAAGAAATATAATCCAACAGTTTATTATTTTCAAAATAACTTGAAGTTGATGGTTCTCGGACTTTCTGCTACAGTCTTGCTTTTAACATCAATAATTCAATATATTTCTTCCAATATAAACCTCTTACATCCTTTGTAGGACAAGGATCCTCTTTTCCAGAATCAAAACTAAATTAATTACCAGAATACTTGACTTTAAACAAAATAATCACTAATAAATGTGAATTATTATTCTATTGTTCACTGGATTTTTTAATTCAGTTTAATATAGTTTTAATTTAAGGTGGATTTCATTAAATATAATGGGTAAAGTATTTAATTTTAAATGATTTTTAGAAAACTTTTAAAAAGTTATAAGCATTCAGTATTCTACATAATACTTCCATGTTAAAACTTACACTATACTCAAATAGATTTTAGGGTTTTTTATCATAATATATGTGAGAACATTAATATGAAAAATATACATTTGTATATGATGATATAATAAGATCAGAATGGTCTGATTTCAAAGTTTTGTTTAGATTTTTTTTATGCTGATAACTAGCTTTTCATCTGTCCTGTGCAATCAGTTTCTAGATTTCTCTTTGTCTCTCTGGCATCTGCTTAGCTAGGAAACGTTTTTTATGTAATGTTTCTATATTTAACAACTTGAGTGAATGATACTTTCATAGATGAAATTATTAGACTTATGCCATTTATAAAATAGTTCTGATTAACTGAAACATGCTTTTGTTCCTCTAAACTTAACAAAATTTTGAATAAATTAGAATCATTCCACAGTGATGATAGATATTAATATTTTAAAGTCTAAAACTGCTTAATGGGCGGCAAATCGTGATATGGGAATTGGCGCCCCATGTGGCTACATCCCTGCATTAGAGGAAGAGAGACGATCGCTTTATTTTCTTTACGGGAAAAAAAGAACGGCAAGAAAACAGGTCGACGACATCATAAAAGTATAAATGGAAACGCTATAAATTAGAGCATCGGTGGGTCATGCTCTGTGAGGGATGCGACGACGAAGGCGTCCCTCAACAGAGAAAAGGGAAATTAGTGGAGTCACGCAACCGGAGAGTTGTTGGACCGTTCTCCCGCCATTTTTGGAACTGTATCCATTTCCGAACGTACAATAAAGTGTATTGTTCTTAGTCTCAACCGTTTCTGTGTTATTGCGCACAGTCACAAAACCATCCATCCAAAAAATTTTACCAAATGGAACGAAAGTATAATAAATCTAAAACGATCAGTACGATTAAAAATGGTAATAATGAAACAATAAGTGACGATGAAGAAATAAGAAAATTTATTCACAGATACTTTTGAAAAGTATTCGAAAAGAAAAGTTTTTACGAAGAAAAAGCATGTGACTTTATGTCCCGAATATCAAAGCTTAACGATAAGCAGATTACTGAGCTAAATAGAAACATCACTTTTGAAGAATGCAAAGCAGCGCTAAATAGAATGTTAAATAATAAATCACCAGGACCGGATGGACTACCTGCTAAATTTTATAAACAATTTTCCCCTTTGATAGTGCAACGATACGCTAACATGATTAACAACTCTAAAAATCAACAAATTGATAAATGGCTTTAATCACGGAATAATTATCCTCATTCCTAAAACCAATAAAAAGGAAGAGTTAACGAAAATTACAAACTGCTTAACATTGATACTGTACTAAATACCTCTAAATACGAATAATTAATTAAAAGACAAGATGATGATATCAGCATTGTTCTCGCAACTTTCAGAGAACTTGATGCTCCCTACAAACCGATTCTTAGGATCCAAACAACCGATATTAAAAGTTACCAATTTTACTACTACAGATAAATCATATCGCTACTCTGTGTAATCATTTTAAAGAGTAAATCACAATAATTATTATACTCTGTACCGATTTGATCCTGGAACATCTTATTTGTATGATGTCTGGAAGAATCTCAATTTACAGGTTTTGAACATCTTTCTGAACCCATAATGTAATTACGGCTGTGTAAAATCGCGTTGTCTTGAAACCAGAGATGTACAATAATTACAATAATATAGTTAGTTAAATTTAATTTTGTTCTTGAAAAGAAAGACGAATTTGCTTTTTTGCACAAAAAAGATAAAATCCCCTATTAGCGTGTATTGAATTATCGAATCCCAATAACAAAAAAAAANATTGTGGTATTCTTCAAGCACATTTCCACAATTAAAGGCCGTTGGAATGTACTGCAATTAACATTGCTTTGGTTTTCCTTGTTTTATTGAAAGAACTATATTTTTAACTATACAAAGTAGGCATATACTAGTTTTATACATTCTCAGTCAAACATTTTATTATTTTCTTTTTTATTTGCATATTGCTTCTGTAAACAGCGGTACCGCAAATATAACCAAGAGTGCTACATCAAATTTTCATTTTCCAAATGTACAGTACAGATATAAATTTAAGGATATGTGGCACCATTTAATTCCCATGACTACGGTAGTTAATCTACAAATTTTAAGTTTATCTGTACATTTTTTATGTTCCTTGCAGAAATGATCACATTAAGTAATTCTTATCATTTACGTGATTTTAAATAACGGAATCGGAAGGCGAGATATTTCATGCAAAAGCCCACTGTACACCTATGTAACTTACTGTGTATTCGCATTTTAATTCTTGAATGATATCAGTTTCGTTACACATTGCTTATAACATCAAAGTTGACGGAAATTTTTCCTCTAAATTGTACGATAACAGGCCTACAGTAACATATAAGTGGACTGTCTATTTTCACGAAGTCCTTATCCCGAACAGTTTGTAGATATCTATCCTTTCCGAATGTTCTATCATAACACAACACAAGACCCTCTGTTCTATCTATAAGGAGATAGCCCGATGTAGTAAGCACAGGATTGTAAGGAGTGAGGAAATTGTAGGCTTTTAGAGAAACCCTACAATTTCCTCACTCCTTAGAAATCGAGAGAAAATAGTGCTTCGGCCGAAACAACTTGAAAGCTTAGAAATGTACAAAGCCTTCGTAGTTAACTTCAAAAAGACAGACTCTATTTCGTCAGGCCGGAGAGCGTATAAAAAGTTATAAGTGAAGGTTTCTTCTTCCAATTGTCAGACTAATAATATCTATCACGTCTTTCTTAATTATGCATAATTAACAGAGACCGAGATTAAAACAGTTCTCTTTATTTCGGATTGGTCCCTATTCGCGCTCTCCAACATAACGAACAGAAGGTTAGTTCGTCTTAATATGTTTTTGTTATTCACAATGATGGATATAGTGCACAATTTGTAGACATCTTAATGGTGTAGTTTCTACATATCAATCTCTTGCATGTTTTCTTTGTTTATTTTTGATGGGAAAATGCCTTTCCTCGCAATTATTAACTCCTTTTTACCTCTCAGAAGGATTTTAACTTGGATATTCTGCTTCATAACACGACGAAGATGAAAATTTAGTTTTCATCGTAAATATTTTCACAAACAAACGATAACTACGAGCAATTGTCTATTGTGACACGCAATTCTTAATCGTATTTTGAAATCATTTAATTTAAAATACAGTATATTTTTACCCATCATCTTTAGCACTATATATACATACAGCGTAGTGTGGAAATTTCGAAAAGGTGCAAAAATAGCAAATGTTAGATTTAAAATATTAAAGTTTTATATTTTTCAATTTAATTTTGTATTTATTTCAAGTTTAAAGTTTTGCCGCCATTATAAAACATTCCCACAATTCGTTTGAAATCGCCTTCCATTTAGTGTAAAGCATTATTAATGAATGATTGAACATGAAAAATGAAGACATTTTAGCCTATGCTATGTATTTTTTAGTTATTATTTTAAATGTTGTATGGGATTCGACAGTGATGGCGCACATACTATTAATACCATAACGTAGTATGGGACATTACATATTTTATCGGCAAGGAAACCGAATTCCGAATCGGTTCATTTTAAAAATATTGGAATAATTTGTGCTGCAGTTTTTTAATATATGTAACAAAACATATTTTTCACATGCGGAAATTAACCATGATGATTATTAGGCTCTCCATTTTGATAATTTACACGTGTTTGTTTTTCCTCCTGTAGAAGGCGAGTGCGCTGGTTAGCGGCCTGTTTTGAAGGCTGAATCAGCCAGGTCTAACGCGTCAAATGATTAAAAAAAATGCAAAACTGGTCATAAAATTCTTTGAGTCCCGAAAAATTCCCAAGATAAGATAGGGAACTAAATTAGAATTCTAACATCTGCAATGGAATTTCGAGGAAAGATTCTCAATAAAAAATTTTAACCATCGCATAAAGGACGGTTAGTATTAGTTAAGGTCCCTTTCTCTCGTTCTTTCAAGATGTGTTCAACATTTCCCAACCTCCCCAAATATTTGGCGAGAAAACTTCGAAAAAAGGAATTTACCATAAAAATAAACTATCAACGAGTTGCTCAACTTTTCTGGCAACATTTAAAACAGCATTTGGCGCTATCTGTTATATTTTTAACTATTATAAATTGACAAACAGCTTAATTTTGAGGAAGGGATGGGTTTTATAGAAAGAATTGTAAATGCTAGTAACGAATAAAATCGTCATTAAGTCCGACCATACTGGAGATACACGCGACCCCCTTTATCTTCCCACCCTGTTGACCATTAATCACTAAAATTTAACAGCATCAATCCCCCTAATACACAAATCTCTCTGCAAAATTTCAGAAAATTTCGACAAAAAGCACAAGTTATTAAGCTTTAAATAGGGTGAACAAAATGGTGCCTCCCCACACATTAACATCCATATACAGAAAATACTGCGATCTAAAGCCGAATTCAATAATTGCATATTATAAAAAAATACAAAAACTGAAATACAGTACTTAAAAAAACACTTTATAATGCACATGCGCTAACATAACTTACCTGCATAACGATCACCGCTCTTTCAGTAGCAGTTGTCTCTAGAACGAAAACAAAAATTCATTACAATGGCAGCTTCCCAATCGTGTTAACTAATAATCTTGACACACACAAAACAATCCAAACATTCCTTTGCTCGCTTTAATCTACTTCTTCCCAAGGAAAAATACAGACGGCCAGATTGCCGAGCGGACAAGGTGGCAGCCTACCGCTCTGGGCACCCGGGATCGCATTCGGATTGGTAGAAAAATTCCCAGAAATTTTTGGAGGCGGTCCGTCCGGATATATCGATATGTCGGGCCTCTTTCCTCACCACCCGGCTGCCCCATAACACAATGGGGCATAACTAAACAAACAAACACATGTTTGTTTAGTTATGGCAATGCAACACTTGGGCGATCTGCCTAGGGGGATACCTTCCGGGAGGCCTTTTTAAGGGAAACTGGCCCCCTCTTTAGACGTGGAGAAAACCCAGAAAATTCATCTGGCCCGTCCGAATGAGGCGCGAACCCACGACCGAGCTCCCAGTGTTCAGGGTACGAAGACCACTTGGCCACTGGTGGTCACAATTAAAATAGATGTCAAGAGATTCCCCCTGACGATTCTTACGATTTTTTAATATTAAAGTGCATAACGACTTAGAATATGTGTTTCAGACTTCATTGAAGATCCTCCGTATTCTATTTTAATTATTACAAATTATGATATAAATTATTACTGCTGAAATAAAAAAATAACCCATTTAATTTACAACTAAAATCGTACAATAACTTTGCCCCGTACGATCCAGCTTCGCCTCACCCCACGGATTTTACAAATTTGTATTCTTGAAGTTTAAATTTTGAATCATGCTCTTAATTTCTAAACATTAAATATTGAATATAAATAATAAAGGATGCCGTATTAATTTCATTTAGGAATGCTTTAACAATGATTAAAAATTTGTTGAAACCCTTATTGTTATCACCGACGAAGTAATTGTTTTAACAAATTACTATTTAATAAATCGGCGCAATGGGTCAACACAATTGTAAACGTTGTAAGAAATCGCTCGTCTCCAAAATTTTCTTTCGTCGAGATCATTTTATACGTCAAGAAATCATTTCCGTGTTAAGTTTCGAGCAAGACGACGGCCAACGTCACGTAACGACCATATTAAATTTACACGATCGCTGGAAGAAACTCAAACATGGAAAGCATTGCAGCGAAGTATTAGAACGCCGTATGTTGCATCACGCCGCTAAGTTGTGCTATTATTGGTGGTTATCCAATAGTAACTTGGTGTGCCAAGTCCTTTATCGAATTTACCGACTCGAATCGCACTTTCCAATCGTCTACAATCACGTCATTACCAATGGAGAACCTCAAACTGACGATTGGCCAATTCCGATAGCGCGCTGCAACGTAGAGCCTAATGAATACGCCAGGATAATCTATTTCCTTCGTCACGCGAACAATTGTAAAATGACCATTAACGGCGTCAGATTCCCGGATCTACCAACGTCGTCCTTTTATTGGCTTCCACCGTGGATTTCGGCCGTGTTGAAAAGTAAGCCGACATTACTTCAACTGTTACTTCAACACGGATCCATACTGGAATCGGATAATGATTTACCCGTTGATATCTGCAAATACTATTGGAATCCTTCGCATTATTTTCGAAATACCATCTCAATTTTGTGGTCGAACAATATAAATTCTCTCCCTACAGAATACATCAGGAACGATCTACAACTTCAGAGTTCGATACTGATTGTTAAACTGCTACTTCGAATTATTCCTCAGCTACAACAAAGAGATATGAAGTTACCGGATATGACGGAAATCCGTTCTTTCGTCGACGATTTGAGTGAACGAGGAATTATATGGAATTTGAGGCGAAGGTATTTGCAACCGTCAGAACTGCACCATCTTTGTCGATGCGTTATCAGAAGACATTTGAGGAAAATGTGGAAACTTCCTCTAGGGATTTTTGAGCTTCCACTCCCGAATTTACTACAAAAATATCTGAATCTGGAAGACGATTAATTCGCCATTTAAAATATTGGATGCGTTTTATAAGTTAATTTTGCGGAAAAATTAATCAAAATCGTTGAAATTTTACGACGTTTAGTATCTAATTTGGATAAATTGAAATCGTGTTAAATCATAATTAATTTTTATGAACTAAGTTCTTTTCTGTTTGAAACACTTCGTTATCATTTTCTAATAGTAAAATATTTTAAAATCAATGTAATTGAAACATAAAATTTATGAAATTTTAATAAATTACTTCAATTCAAATGCGATAGTAAATTTAATGGAATATATCGCGTATGAATATATTTATGATTCATTTAATAATATTCGTGCAGCAAATACCTTTTCCTGCGTTCTGTGCAATATTTCACTTTTGGCTTTTTTTATCTTGGAAAAAAAGATTAAGATAGAAATAGTTTTGTTTGAAGTTAAAAAAAAACATACATTATAGAATAGTAGCTGCTATTCTATTTATTATATTTAAAATATAATTGAGCAAAAATTTTTAAATATAAAAATGTGATGATGACAATAATTTTTCCTCAAAGCAGGGCTGCAATTTTTAATTTATTTAATATATATGCTCTCGATCTCAAATTAGTAGTGTCTTGCCCCCGTACATCATACTTTTCCTGATAAAGTCATCTATAGCTACGTTCTGGGGAAAATTTTTGAAGTTATATATATAATGTTAGTCAGGACCTCCTGTCCCTAAGGTTTCCATATCCGGTCCTGAGATTAAGGAGGGACAGACAGATGACTGTAGAAATGTATAGCTCTGCAAATTTTTTCAAATTGCACCCCAATAATCCACTTCAATTCAATTATGAAAACTTAGTAGTATAACATTATCTCCTGAAATTTCAGTTTGATATATCTCTGCTGATCTTATTAACAGTTTTACTTATTTTGTAGCTTTCATGCCAATAAGTAACAATTAATTAACCATAGAAAATTGAATTTCTAAAATACTCAAAGAGAATGTGGTCTTAGATGAAATTTTAATAGAAATTCCACATTTATACTAATCAGCATCTCAAGATAATGTGAACATTTTTTCATCACTGCCACACTCACTATCTTAATTATCTTATTTAAAATTTGTTAAAAGAGTCACAAGATGCACATTTATATGCTTTCATTATTTTATTGATTAATAACTAGTAATATACACATCAATAAATTTCTTGAAATCAAAATAGTACAAATAATAAATTGTAGGACCTTTTAATAAAAAAAAATGAAAGTAAAGAACAAAATACAAATTAATTAAATACCCAAGTTTATAAGACAATATATATTAGTGAAAATATTTTAATTGTTTTTATTTTTTTCTTTTAAAATGTAACATTTCATATAAATGATAATTTGCATAAAATTTATATCATAAAATATAACAATCATCAATTGCAAACATTTTTCATGCAGTGTATAAAAAGCACAGAAAATTTTATCAAAAATATTTGGTACAACCAAAGCACTAACTTTATGAATTTCACTACTTTAAGATGTTTTATTTAAAATAAATATTTGGCCATGTGCATTCTATCAAAGCAACTATTGAAACACCATGTTAACTGTTGAAAGACTATCCTCATTTTTAACTAGAAATTATAATAAACATTCTAAAATTAGTTTTTATCTGTATATTGCTTTTGGATGCAATTTTTCCACAAATTCATTATGTTAACAAAATGTTTGACAGAAGCCACACTTAAATATCTTTACAGCCTCTTCAATCATTTATTGATACAAAAAAAAATCTCTCTTCTGACAAATTTTTGATAATCCATAATTTTCAATTATATATTTAAATAAAAAATATGAAGTTAATAATGTAAGATACTGAATTTTGGAAAAATCTAACAGTTTTCTCAATAGGAAATACTTTCATTTTACTTAATTTAATCAAACATAGGTCATAAATTATGATAGAAATAAACATTCTAATTTCTATATTCTGACATAATTTATGTACCGTACATTTTAAATATGCAACAGTTTAAAAAAGCATGTTATAAATAATCTTAAACCGATTTTAATTTTATATTTATAATATAAAATTAAAATAATATATTATATTAAATATAAAATATATTATATT